GGAGCTAGGTCTTTGTATAATGTTTCTGAAGTAGTTAATTTAGCCTGGTCATTTGTGCCTTGAGTAAGAAGTCTGGGTTAATTTGTTTGATGATCCATTTGTTTGTTTGTTTTTTGGCTGTCCACTGTATTCTCAAGAGTTTTCTCCAACACCAAATTTCAAATGCGTCAATACTCTTTCTATCTTGTTTCTTCAAAGTCCAACTTTTGCTTCCATGAAGTATTCCAGGGAATACTATTGCCTGCACTATTCTGATCTTTGTAGGTATAGACATATCATAGCATCTGCGTATCTTTTCCAAGGCCTTCATGGCTGCTGCACTAAGTGCTAGTCTGCAATGCATGTCTTGAATACTTTTTTACTGCTGATGGATGATCCTAAAAGGCAGAAGCTATCTACCACTTCAAAATCTTTCTTGTAAATTCTAAGGCTGGTTGTTATACCTGGGATCATTAGTTTGGTCATCTTTACATTTAATTTTGTTCCATTTTTTTTTCATCATGCTTGACTTTCATTACTAGAGCTTGCAAATCATTTGCATTTTTAGCTATCAGAATATCTTCAGCATAACACAAGTTATTGACCTCCTAGAATGTGTTGATCTGATCCAGAAACACTATCATATATAAGATTTTATGAGAAAGGTTGGGCTTGGATGCTAATCTTCTTTCCATTTACAGGAAATTGCAGTGAAATTTCATCAAAAAAATGATGAAAGGCTATATTATGATTTCTAAACTGTTGTTATATGAAACCACTTCTCCAAAAACAGTCATATGTTTTTCCTTCCTTTCTTCCAGTGACCAAGTTTGCTGGGTTTTATATCATTTTTGTTCTTCCACTGAATCATTAAAATATATTTTTTTCTTTAGAATTTTTATTTCCAGCTGGACTGCTTGTATTATTGAATGGGTATGTTTGATATTCCTATCCATAACCATCTGTCCACCTTCTACATCTGCCTAATCACGAAACTTTTAGTTTGGTGGAGTGATGTGATTATTGGAATAAGCTGGAAGAATCATATCTGAATCCTTCCTACATAATGATGCTATCTGGGTAAGCTTCAACTAGTCACAGGCTTGGACCAATTTCTTAGCAGAGTTTTGTGAGATCACTGCAGGACTGATCACTTATGCATGAAGGAATGGTGGGATATAAATAGTAACAATTTACTACATGTTCATTAGAGCACATGACTTACACATGGAAGATGACATTTCAAATTTGTTACACCTCCATGTAGGATTATAAAAAATTCCCATCTGAGATCATAGACTGTTGATTATGACAATAAGCTGACCAATTGTGGATTCTCATTCTGAAGTTGCAGTGGAACAGAGACAATAGTGTCCCATGTAATGCATCACCAGTGACAGTCTGTCACAGAAGATATTCTGACAGTGTACCTTCTGCCACTTTTCATGCAACCCACAGTATTTGGTGGGATAAGAAATCCAATGGCCCTTCCTTGTCCACTTAAATTTACCACAATCCTTTCTGCCAGATCAAACAGAGAGCAGCCTCTGTAACACCAAGTATTACTTTCCTATCAAATAGTATCCTTAATTCATCTATGTGCAAACACCATGGAACATTAGCTTATATATCCTAGATTTATAAAATGCTTCGAAGAACATGAATACAAAAGCCACAATGTTTAGCTCATGCAACAGATCCATGTTACCCATATTCTTACTTTAAAACATTTATGCTCAATAATAATAGGCAGGTGGTTTGGGGTTTTTTTGCTTTAAAACTGATCCCATCCACTGTATGGCAATTAAAGCATCATTTAAGTCTTGACAAAATCCTTTCCTCCTTGCCTCCACTGGAAACTACGGTGTAATGTAACACAATTTTAAAAGAGGATGATGATGATGTTGATGACAGTGCATTCTCCTTATTAGTATGTCTGTATTGTTCAATTGGTATTGAAATTGTACATGAATTTAAAAGCTTTTTTTCAGCATGGAACAATCCGGTAAATAAATAATGTTCTGGGTTAATTATTAAAGTGAATAAAATTGAAAATTCAGGAAAAATGAAGCGTCTTGCACTGAAGATCAACAATTTATTATGGACTACTATTCACTGCCTGGCTAGAGGTGTCATCTTGATTAATCTCAAAAGGTGAAGCAGGATTGGACCTGGTTTGTACTTTGGGAGAACCACTGGGATATCCCAAGTCCGTAGGGGAAAAAAAAAGGCACCGGTAAAAACCTTTCCATATTGTTGCCAAGATCAGTATATGGACATATCAACGAAGTCACCAAAGCTAAGTTTGACTTTACTATGCATTCTTATTTCCTATATAGACTACAAAATCTTACAATTCTCCAGGTCTTAATATAAAATAATCAGAAAATGAATTCTATTTTTCTTTACTTCTGCAGAGAATTGGATTCCTTTTGATTAAAACTGGATTTTAAGATCTGTATTTTTGCAGAGGAAGTGTTCTCTGGAAAGATATGGTGTATATTTCAATGTTAGAAGCAACATACATATAATTTCCCTTATATATTCTTTATGTCTGTGGCAATTGGGAAGTGGAGCTGTCAATCAAGACATGGGAATGCAGGGCATCTCTTCTCAAGTGATATTCCAACTGCAGAAGGAACCAAGGAAAAGGGATTTGGGAGATGTAGATGGAAGGACAGATCTGAAGAAACCTCAGCATCCTGTTCCAGGGAATACCTCTCTTGTCAAGAGAAGTATTCCCTGCTGGCTGGAGAATTCTGAGAGTTGTAGTCCACACATCTTCAAGTTGCCAAGGTTGAGGAACCCTGCTACACAGATACTAGCTTTCCCAGTTAATTCCCCTGCTTTTCTGGGAATATTTAGCCCAGAGAGCTAAACATCCCCATTTAGGATCAGAGCCAGAAGACCCCAATGAATATTTACATGGAAATTAATTAATTTATCTATCAACTTTGTCACCACCCAGAGTTGCTCTGCAGTGAGATGGGTGGTGACAAATTTGAAATATAAATAAATTTATTCCATGTAAACATTCACTGGGAACTTATGGCTCTGATCCTAGGTATAAATGAATAAAATCTGTGTAATTATATGCAGTTTTATAAACTATGTAAGTAAAATAGATTCAGGTGCTGGGCAAGAAAATTACTGTTGACTTCCAGTCATAAGGAAGCTCTTTACTATAAATGGGAGAGCCTGCAGAGACTTTCTAGATGAGAACTAGTATTTACCCTAACTCCACTGTGGAAGAGCAGAAATTTAAAAGCACAGCAGAAGGGCATGTCAATGGTGCTTTCTAAAATACAGAGCATTTTTGTTTTTATGCTCTGAAGGAGCTTTAGTCTGTGAAGTACTAGATACACACATACAGAGGGAGAGCAGGACAGCTGAAGCTCTCTTTATTAAGCAAGAATTGTTTTGTCATATTTGCTTTTGCTCTTTCTAAACATTTTATTACATTGTACTGCTCATAAATTAAAAAGGAGCATGAAACTTTAGAAATATGAAACTTGATATATATGAAGAATCATACCAAGTTTATTTGTCCAAATATGGATTTTTAACAAACCCACTTAACACAGAAAAATACTCATCCCAGATGAGTGAAAAAACTTGCATTTTGGATGTTGTGATGTTGGAACTTTTTGGAACTGAGGCACAAGCTGATTTCCCATTATGAGAATGTTTGCTTTCCTTTGCTTCCTCTGGCTGGAATGTATTTGACCGGTACCAGTAGCTGTGAAACCTCTCTTAACCTTCCTGGTCAATTTCAGAATCCCTATAACAACTGTGTGGCTTGATTCTACCTGCCTATGTACCCAGGAGGCCCTGAATTGCTGCCTTATTCCCACCTCCAAGAGCCATTACTTTTTTCTTCACTCCCAGACCCACCAATAGCCACACTTGTGAATCAGTGATGAGTGCAGCTACTGGGGAAAGTACCAGGCTGCAAAACTGGGGGATCCTGCCATCATCACTAATTGAAAGGAATTATGTAGGATGCCTCTAAAAACAAACTCACGCAACCCAAAAGCACTGACAGGTGTCCAGTATGAGCTGAAAACATTCAGCATGGAGAATGCAATCTTTCCCCCTTTAAGTGTGCAACAAGGTTGTGCAGAGGGGACTTTTGTTATTCCAAGAGCTGCTATAGCTCAGAAAATGGAGCAGTGTCAGTAAGCTTTGTGCTCTCCTGTTGGTTAGCTGAAGGATCAAATGATTCATGCTGTTTTCTTCTGTGTTTCAAGATTGGCAGGAATTGCATGGTTGATGACTCCTTTGAATAAAGTAAGAACGAAAACAGTGCCAGGCGGGAATGAACTCAGCCTAAACCTGACAGTCCTCACAAGCAGGGAGGAAAGTGGCAGCAGCTATTTCCTGTTCACATATACCACTCTGTCTTCTACAGCCATGCCTCCACTGAGGTCGTGTTCTGAAGCTTGACTGGACAGCGGCCACTGCCAGCACCTTCAGAACAGGAAGTGAAAACATGCTTCTCCACTTTTCCATTTTCCTCACTTCAAGAGCCAAGGGGCAACACAAGTTCAGAGGAAGACACCAAGCTGTCTGTCCCAGACTCATCAACTCAAGGTCTAGCTTAGGGAAAGAAAGGATGAGCACGTCTTTGCCATATTGGAAAACTTCCCCAAAATCTTTGAGCCATTTGCCCAATTCACCCCTCCAAGAGTGTGTGTTTATGAACAGAGAATTAATACACCATGATGTGCACCTATGCAAGCCTATCTGAATGGAGAGAAATGACTCAACTATGCAATTGTAGCAAAACTCCCATTTTCTTCAATAAGGCCATATGCAGGAAAACCTCCTGGGAACTGGCCCCCAGAAAGTTAGAATAGTGGGTGTATGTTAGGTGAAGAATAGTTCTTAATACTGTGAAATGATTATTAAGTCTGGTTCCCAAAGATCAAGAAAAGCTTAAAATAATCTGAAAAGAAAAAAAAAGTCACATTCCAAAACATCAGCAATTATATACCTAATTTATAAAAAAGGCATATGTCAGCTAAGGCAGATATAATTTATTTAAGTACAAACAAAATGTAGCTGTTTTAAGACAAATACCAATATAATTCTAGTGCAATCTTGCCAGTTTTGAATTTCAGAGCCTCTGTATAAAGAAGTAGGTTTTCAGCATAACTGATTTTCAGATACATTATAAATACATGAAATACAATGAATATTCTCATTTATGCAAAAAAAAAGGTTGTACATCACATCATTGTGTGTGTGTGTATGTGTGTGTGTGTGTGTGTGAGAGAGAGAGAGAGAGACACAGAGAGATTGATTTCTAAAAGTGCAATTCTCTAATTCAGTTAGATAGTTCAGCACCTGATGACTACATGAACAGAAACGTATCATCTTGACCTGCCTCTAGTACTGATGTAGTCTTCCAAGGGTAATCCTCCAATCACCTTCATCCCATTTGTCCATGTGTCTTCATCTTCTTCTCCCTTCAACTTTGCCAAACATAGCATTTTTTTCTAGTGCATCATTTGCGTGCATCACATACAAGAAGCAGTTGAGTTTTTGCTTGCTGATCATTGCCTCAAGAAAGCAATCAGCCTTTATTTGCTCCAGGATGCAAACAGGAATCTACTATGTTCCCAGCTTTCATAAAATACATTAACCTTCAGATTGTCTTTTGCTGCTTCAGGAAAGAGGTGAAAATATCTTATCACCAAATAAAAAGAAAGAATGAATCCAGAACTGTATAAAACATACCATGAAATAGTTTTAACTTTCATGTTGCAGATATATGTACTTATTTCAGAAATAAGATTCACCTTTGTTTATATTACAATCATTTGGGCTATATTGTTAATATAGTTAAATACGCAACAAATTCCTTACAAAAATTAAGATTTTGATGCTTTAAATAATGTTAATACAAAACCAAGTTCACTATACTGGTCAAAAACCATTTCTAAAAATCTTATAACAATATTGATTAATCCCAATGTTTTCAAAAGGCCAAAATACAAGAGTTTGGTTTCAAGATACAAATGCCTTCCAAATAACACAATATTTCTTTGAAAAGCTGAAACAGTAGTTCCCTGAAACATAAATATATCTGCAGAGACGCTTAAATCATTTTAAGAAGTTTTCCAATTTAATGGAATTACCACTTTGACATTTTTCTAACTATTTATTAGACCTGGGAAGCATGATAAATACTACTGATCTTGTGCATATTTTCTTAAAAGTTAGTCTCATAGTATTCAATTGAATTTACTGTCAAATAAGCTTTAATAGTGTGTCAAAACTCCCAGGCATAAATAGTACAGTTATTTGGAAACAAACTCTACTGAGTTCAGGGGATTAACTCCCAATTAAATATGCCCAGAATATAACTACAATTAATTGTTCTCTAACCTCATTCTTATATTTAAGTGCATTTTAAAATATAAAGCCTGCCCCAATGTGTGCACTTTCAAGTCCAATATATGAAACATTACTTTTATATATATAAATGATTAAGGCACAATGCGATTCAACGGCATAAAGGAGCAAAGGTGGTCCTTACTTAGAAACATCAGCATTGAAAATATATAACAGATAACACAAAAGCTACATAATTGGGCCTGAGTATCTGCCTGATGGATCATAATGTTAATTTTTTTTCCATAGGTTGTGATGTTTATTAACTCAGCAATACTGTACATATTCCTTATCAAAACCAATACTTTACAAGATTCTCCTAATTTTGTAAATAAGCCATAAGAACAGCATCATTGTGAATTCCAGCATGAAAACTACATTCACTTACAAAATATTCATGCCCTGTAAAAGAAGAGTACATACTTTGGTTTTTGAGATATTCTGCATTCTACAAATTAAAAAAAAAAACTCTTAAAACCTGTTCACCTTTGTTCTGTTCACTTACCCTGCATAATCTTCTGATTCTGTAACTTTCTAAATAGTTGGCTTTGAAACCTACTGCTTTAGGGAAACTTTTCTTCCACATCAGTTTGAACCATAACCATGGAATTCTTCATTGCTGGGATTTCTATGACTCTCATTGTTCACTCCATGTCCAGATAGTCTCCCATATCAGAGATTTGTCTCAGAAAACACAAAACTACAGATCTTAGTAGTCAAGCTGACGCCTATCTGTCATACTGAGAAATAAATGAAGAGGTTTCAAAGAGTCCTGAAGCGGTTTAAACACCCTGTTCCAAAACCCTGACGTCTCTTACTCAATGGAAAGTTTAGGTCAGTTTCTTATATATTATAAACAATTTATTCCCCTAGTATTTCTCTTAATCTCCTATGTGTGAAGTGTCGGTGGTAACCTGGCATATTGTTGTTTTTGTATAGCTGTATTATTATGTCTTTTTTTGGAGGACAGAAACATAAAACATATAATCATAGCACACTCAAAATGTTGCCTTTTTAAATCAGCATATACTTAGCCATCTGCCAGCTGACAGAACTAAAAGAATAGGCTTTACCATAATATAAATATTTTTGCAGAAACATTTTTAAAAGCACATTTCCTTCCTCTTTTTCTCAGACTTAATAATATCTTATTTAATAATTCTCACAATGCGCACTGAGTATTTGATAGTTTCTGATCTTAAAGGCTTTGGGATAACTTATTTTATCCAATTTGCTACAAGATTATGGCCACAGCAAAGACACTGACCACACAGTTCATTGTTCTGTTTTCCCATCTGACTGTGCAAGTACCTGTAATGGATTTAAGGAAAAATAATGATCAGGCATTTTTAAAAATTCTTAAAATGGCAATCTTTAACCAAAACTCATGTACAGACATATTCTACAACTTATATTCACTGACAGGGAACAGCATACATCCATTTGATGATCAAATTGGTCTATACTGCTGTTTTCCAGAAAATCTCTCTCTTTGAACTCTCTCAGTCTCACTTTGAGTATTTAAGACAGTGCTTCCCAAACCTTGGTAAATTACCCAAAATTGGGTAAAAGTAGTTTTTCTTTGGGTAACGACACATGAACCCATTATCTAATCACAACAGACATTTAAATTGACTTAAAGAATGCCACGTGTACTAAAATATGTTTAAAAATCTCCCAAATTATTCCTATTAGGACAAAAATCAATGAAATTACCAATGGTAATTTCTTGAAATGACATAAACTTAATTCAATTAAATTATTTTTTATAATACAGGTAATCCTCGGGTTATGACCATTCATTCAGTGACCATTCAAAGTTAGGGTTTTGCATAATGATGGAAAAAGTTTGGGAAGCCATGATTTAAGATATCATGAGCTTGGTCCCAATACACAGAGTATGCTATGATGCACTTTATTTCATTTATTTATTACATTGACATCCCACCTCTCTTTCAGGAGGTCAAGGTGGCTTATTTAGTGCCTTTTCTATTTTGCCCCACAACAACCCTATTAGGATAGGCTGGGCTGAGAGAAAGAATGCCTGCCTATAGTTACCCAGTAAACTTTAAGGTAAACCAAAAGAAGGCTGAGATTCAGAAAAACTAAAAGAGGTTAAGGTTTACAGCATTTTGTCAATCAAACTTTTGCTAGATATACACTATGCACTAAATCACAGTACAAGTTATAGTTTATTAGTTTTGGCTCAACAAATTGCGTAAACTCAGCCAACTCTGATTCATTCAATAAACCCTGGTAAAACCATGACTTAATGTAATGTGTGGACCCAGTTTTCATACCAATGAAAAGTGCACAGAACTGCAGACCACAGGCATCACTTCCAACTACTTTCTATTTCACATTTTAGCCAAACAGCCCTAATTTCAGTCAATAACAATTACATTATGGGGGTTGTCAAATAGTATTTCAGCTGGTATAGGATGTTTCACACGAATTTAAAAAATGGAAGTAGTACTTTTATATTACATTATTTACATGGTGCTTTTATTTCCTGCAACTTGGTATTTACCATCAGTTGTGGTATCCCAAAAACACGAGCTTGCAGTATGCAGACCAGCTCCACACTTCTGCATCACAGCACAGGTCACTAATGGATGGAGAAAAATCCAGCATTCATTAATAAAGCAAGAAACTGATAAATTATTCAGACTTGCAGACTTTCCTAATGAAGGTTTCAGAGAAGTTGGGGATGAAGAGAGAGAAAAACCTCTATCAACACAATGGCAAAATATATACGAAAGTTTTCCACTTTTTTTCCAGCAATTAATTATATTCAATTTTGCTACAAAATATTCTTTAAGTTCTTCTTTCCCTAGAAATATTAAATCAATGAGATTCATTTCTTCTCCTTAAAAAAAAGTTTCCACTAACAATTCTATAGATCATAACTAACCTAATGTACAGACTTTTGGGAGTGAAACTGGCTAACTTTCTCTTGGGTAAAGAGTTCTTCCTGGTCCTTTTAATTCTCTACAAAATAATCGCTATTGCACCTAAAAGGCACAGCATTTAAGCATATGAAAAAGTGAAAATATGAGAGTTGCTGCATTTTTATTATTAATGGCCTGAATGAAGGCCTCTTCACTGAAGGTGCTTTCCAAAGGTACATTCACTAAAGCATTGCATCCTCTCCCACCATCTGGGTCCCTTCAGATGTATTACTTTGTCCTTCCCATCATTCCAAGCTATATTTTAGTCCAACAAAACTGGATAATGCAAGATAATACCAGATTTGGGATCGCTATACAAACGGTTGGTTTTCAATAGGTCTATTATTAATCTAAATATATTCACAGGGGATGTCTGGTGCATGCTTCGGCTTTAAAATATTCTACTCTATAATATAATAATACTGGCCAAAAAAAGATTAGCAAAGCTCCTTGTGCTTCTCCTCCCACTTCTATACAGTATTTGTGTCTGCCTGATGGTATATGAGAATTAGAATCTAATCCCACATCTATCACTTTAAATCAGTGTTTCTTGGCCTTGGCAACTTTAAGACATGTGGACTTCAACTTCCAGAATTCCCAGCCAGCAAAATTTAAATACATGTCTCCTTGATTCTGGAGTTGAAATCTCAATACATATGGAGGGAATCAGGTTGTGGAAAACTGCTTTAGGAGAAGAAGATAAATTATTTCTCTTTAATTTTAGCCAAAAGTAATAAGAAATTGTTGCATATTCACAATGAGTCTTACCAATGTACTTGTATGTTTTCCCCAGTTTTACCAGATGTGTTAGAGACTGTTCTACTATAGCTGCAGTCCATTTATTGACACTGTCATGGTTATAATCTGCCTTGCTCAGAACACCTTCTATGCACTGAAAAAGAACAAAAAATCCTAAAAGAACAAGTAAAAGACTTTTATATAAAGAATGCAAAATAACTCAAATATTGAAGGCAGTTTTTCTAGACTAGACTCTAGTCTAGACAATTATAACATTAATTAATTACCGAAGCAATCAACCAATGAGTTTAATCCCAACATAACTAAAATATCTCATTGTGCTGGATTTACTTAGTAATGCAACAAATAAAAGTTGCAATGACACTGCAAATTAGGCAGCAGCATTTTATTTATCTTCCCAGTGCTGGGCTGCTTTGGTGCCATTGTAAACATCATAAGATGCAGATTCAGTTTTCTAGTTAAACACTAGAAAAGGCTACACCACAGTAGCATAAATGTAGTTTACCATTTTTACAAAACAACTAAACAAGTGTGTTACTACCAGTACAGAACTCAACAGAACACTTATTGCTACATAACACTAATCATCATTGACTCAGATCCTAAACTCCCTTCTCCTGACCCAAAGGTCTCCTTCCAATCAATGAAGGGTCTCCAATCTACCAGATCATTCTGCAAATGAAATGGGTGAATGCCAATTCTCACTGATTCACCTTTCTCCTTGCACTCAAGCACTCCTTGATATGTTATGTATCAAGTTCTTTTGTAGGGTATTACCCACATCTGATTATACATTAGGCTGAGAGTATAGCAAGCTTCAGGAAAATAGAGAATTGGCAGAAATTACTTGCTGCTATCCTGTGATGTACAAGTTCCACTAATAGAAAATTAAAATTCAATCCACTGTCTTGATACTAAAAAGTTAAAAACCCTAAACTTCTATTAATTAAATATGAATGCAAAGTTTGGACATCACCATATCTACCCATCTTTATTTCCAAAAGTTCAATGGTACAGCAAATAAAATGTATAGTGGGGCAAAAAAGTATTTAGTCAGCCACCAATTGTGCAAGTTCTCCCACTTAAAAAGATGAGAGAGGCCTGTAATTTTCATCATAGGTATACCTCAACTATGAGTCTCTCATCTTTTTAAGTGGGAGAACTTGCACAATTGGTGGCTGACTAAATACTTTTTTGCCCCACTATACATTTTTCTCTCATCTTTTTAAGTGGGAGAACTTGCACAATTGGTGGCTGACTAAATACTTTTTTGCCCCACTATACATTTTTCTCTCATCTTTTTAAGTGGGAGAACTTGCACAATTGGTGGCTGACTAAATACTTTTTTGCCCCACTATACATTTTTCTCTCATCTTTTTAAGTGGGAGAACTTGCACAATTGGTGGCTGACTAAATACTTTTTTGCCCCACTATACATTTTTCTCTCATCTTTTTAAGTGGGAGAACTTGCACAATTGGTGGCTGACTAAATACTTTTTTGCCCCACTATACATTTTTCTCTCATCTTTTTAAGTGGGAGAACTTGCACAATTGGTGGCTGACTAAATACTTTTTTGCCCCACTATACATTTTTCTCTCATCTTTTTAAGTGGGAGAACTTGCACAATTGGTGGCTGACTAAATACTTTTTTGCCCCACTATACATTTTTCTCTCATCTTTTTAAGTGGGAGAACTTGCACAATTGGTGGCTGACTAAATACTTTTTTGCCCCACTATACATTTTTCTCTCATCTTTTTAAGTGGGAGAACTTGCACAATTGGTGGCTGACTAAATACTTTTTTGCCCCACTATACATTTTTCTCTCATCTTTTTAAGTGGGAGAACTTGCACAATTGGTGGCTGACTAAATACTTTTTTGCCCCACTATACATTTTTCTCTCATCTTTTTAAGTGGGAGAACTTGCACAATTGGTGGCTGACTAAATACTTTTTTGCCCCACTGTATATAAGATTATTGCCCAAGTCGATATCCATCATTTCTATTTTTAATACAGATTCAGAGAAAACATATCAAAAATGTATTTTATCATCAAAACATAAATGTGTAACTCACATCTTTAATAATATTGTGGGCTTCTTCACTGTTAAAGATCATCTGGAATGATAATATTTAAAGATATTTTATTAATATTTCATCCAATTTGAGTCCCCAGCAACTTACAAAACTTTAAACTATACAAACAGTACAGCATATCAAATAACTTTCCAGAACCCAAAAATAAACAGGGCAATATATTTTTTTTCTTTAAAAACATACACTTCTCCCAAATGCAAAGTTAATACAACCACAATCTCCATTCATCCTGATATTATTAGTTTACAAAGTTAATACACATTGCAGCTGCATAGAAACCAAGCTGTTATATCTTAACAAATATGTATCACAGTACTAAAGTCTCAACTGTAATGTTTAGCTGTTTTTTTTTAGTTCACTATTTCTAATGGTACCTTGAAAAATTAGAAACCAGAACCTATACAGTACATTACCCTAAAGAATATGGTTGTGCAGTGCTTTAGATCTAGAGGCAAAAGATGCTCCAGAAGGCAGTAAATAGCATGCATCTACAACTCCTCACTATCAAACACCTATTTGTGAGCTTTATACTACAAGAATTCACTAATATGTTGCATCTGTAGCAACTGTTCAGGAAAATCACAGGAAAAGTTATGTTAAAAAAGTGCAAGGGATTGATGAGAAAGACACAGTAGGCAGGGTTCCAAATCTAAAAAATGGATTTTAAAAGAAATTTTAAAATCCAGCCTTTTAAAACAGAAACCAAGCTGAAGATATAGCAGGATAAGCTGCTGTGTTTCCCACTGAACTGGTTTACATGAAATGCTAAAATATAACACAATTTGATTTGTAAACAATGGCTTCTGGCTTAGTTCATTGTATTAATTCAACCAGTTGAGGTCTATTCAAAAAACCACGATTAGGCAAACTACAGCTTAGCATAATGCCTAAATCCAAATCTGTGAATGTATGTGGCAGAGAATGAAAAGACATGGCTCCATCTCTGAATGATGCCATATATACATACAACAAAACAAGGATAAGCAGAGCAAATGCGACTTCTTCTGACTTAACTCTCTACCTGGAGGAAAGGTTTTGCGGGCAACTGAGCATTCAAAAATAGGCCAATTAAAATGCTGCTGCATCCTCCCCGTCCCCGAAAGAAAAGTCACCACATGCATACACTGTGTGTCCTCTTGGTACTTTAGGGCTCTCGTTTTGCCCTGAAGTAAGAAATCCCACTGCTCCGACTTGGCAGCGTCGATCGTGATTGGCCTACATTTTTTTTTTTTTTAAAACACTGCATCTGTGAGGCGGCTTTTTCCCCCCCTTTAAACGAGGCTGCCCCAAAGCGTGAAGAACGAGCAGGCCTGAAAAGCGCAATCGCTCTCGTTATGTCGGGAGATCGACGACCTTTCCCCGACGGGAGGTGACGTGAGCCTGCCTCCCAACCCGGTCGGAGACGCCGCCGCTCAGGCCTGGCGGGGCTGGGAGAGCCGTCCCTGCGCTCCTCCGGGACCTTTCGGCCCAAGCGCCCGGGAGCTCGATCGACCCCGAGGACGCGGGGATGCCGCCAGCCGACCAGCGCGAGAGAGGAGAACTGCACTACCTCGTCGTTACGTGGGTGAAACTCCTCCATGGCCGCAGCGATGGCAGCAACAGGAACGCAGCAGCCTTCCCGTTCCCAGCGGTGACAGCGGGCCTCGCCCTCGCATTAGCTCAGCAGTTCTTCCTCCCCCTCCCCCTCCCCCTCCT